ACATGGCTGATTTATTTGGAGACTATAAAGTTGGCAAAGTTGATACAGAGTCTTTAATTCACCGAATAGATCTTTAGATGAAGTTGTCTCCACTCTAGTATTATGAAGCTCTCTCTGCTTCTGAAACCTTAATCTAGAAGGGATCACTTACTAGGCTTAGTCTTATGGACATTTATGAACTATGTTTTTAACTTCACAGAAGAGCATTTGCATAACAGATTGCACCAATATAATGTTGCCCCCACAAGATAGGAAGATAATTGGAGTTATAAACATCTGGGATGCCCTAGTCAATTACACAAAAGGCATCTTAGATCAGACACACCTGAAGCTATATAACATTTGTTTTGCCAAAAGTATGTTTTGTATAAAGTTCCTGTATTAAACTGTGCCAAAGATTGCAATCGTTCTTGCAACCAATCCAGTGCCTTATGCAGAAAGTAGAAGTGGGATACATTGGGCCCTCTGGGGCCCTTGGTGCAGCCCTCCATGCATACAACCGGCCTCCTTGATCCTGCCTTTTTTTACGTTGTAACAGCTGCTTATTCTTCAGAGTCCTCTGTTCCATAGTTGCTAGGTCTGCTAGGAATATCAGGGCCATGGGTCGGGCCAAAAACTCCCCAGCCAGTTCAGTCCCATTGAGATTGCTGAGAAGGGCAGAGAGGTGGATACAGTTGTCTTAGTTAGAGCCCTCATCCATCTCCTGCATGCAGCCCTCATCCATCTCCTGCATGCAGTATGGCCACAAATGCCCGTACACCAAGAAAAAGGGTGGCTCTCTGGCAGGTTTAGCATGCTTGATAAGATTTCTGTTTCTGGATCTGAATTATCTCTCCCAAGGCCTGTGGCTTAGGAGACGGCTTTGAATTTCGTCAATGGCTGTGTCAAGGGCAATGGTTTGCTTCGGTGAAAATTCTAGGTTCTACTTTTAGAGTGATCTCAGACAGCTGGGAGAAGTTGCTTTTCCTGTGATATTCCTGGAGAGCTGCTGCAAAAAACTGAGCTGCTGGTTGGTCTGACTTTATATTTGTCTGCACAGGAAAGGCCACTTAGGGGAGACACAGGACTGTAGCCTGAGCATCATATTCAGACTCCACCTCAGGTTTAGAACAGGACAAAACAAAGGTGAATGGATCGCATAGTGTTGGCACTTTATGGAATCAAACTCTTGATTCTCCCTTCCTTCCTTCCTTCCTTCCTTCCTTCCTTCCTTCCTTCCTTCCTTCCTTCCTTCAGACTTCTTCATTCCATTCCTCCTGTAACAGTATATGGAAAAGGGGTGTGCGTGCCTTTTATTTCTGCCCCATTTATATAAAAATTGTTTGAGTAAACTTTGCTAACATTAAACACAGTATTCAAAATTCTAGTACCGATTGCAGGGATGGGGTGGGTGGGAGTTAACAATATGGTTAACATAGAATCTCCCACCAGCCAAATGTGAATCGGCCATCTCTGCTTCGGGGTGGGGCGGGGCATGGAGAAGGGTATGCTACGTTATAATCTCTATGACTTCTCTCCAACAAAGATGTCATCTGCCTCTTAAACCTGGCAAATTGTAACTAGCATCACTATTGACAGAGTATCCTTACCTCTTCATCCACTAGTGTTTATACATATGAAAACCACTGGCTTTTAGGGACACCTCCACTGAAATCAGTCACACTTACTTGCTTAAAGAAGGGGGCATGTATCTAAACCCCTAAAGCAGTAATTATCATTTGATTAATGTGTAACTCTATTCCTGGACCCCGTGATTCTCTTCTCTGTGTCTTGTTGCAAAGAGGAAAATAAATATGGCAAAAGAACTAGTTATCCCATTCCCACCTGTTCTTGTTGATGGGACACAGAATGGATAGCTCCTTGTCTTAACTTTAGTACGGCTTCTATGTAATTGTACTCCTGATCCACTAAGCAAACTACATTGAGACTTGCCTTACTGGTTAAAAATACGGAATCCTGTTCCCAGTTGTCATCCAGATGTTTCATTTTGTGTTTCGAGAGTTCATGGCACTATATTTACAATCGCTTAATCAAGCCTTATAACTAGTAAAATGTCTCGGATGCCCACATTCCATCCAAGACCAGGCAATGATAAGAATTAAAGTACAAATATCTGTATGAACTGTATGTAATTGAGACAGGACAACAGTGTACAGGAATGACCGACAGTGGGGAACTACAATTAGCCAAACTTCTGAATGTGTGCCAAAAACATTGAACTTGAACGATTGTTGGGTAATGTCTTGGTAAAGGCCGGAAAGTGAGTAATGCAACCCTCAAGCCTAAGAAGGGTTCTCTTACTCTCCAGCCCTTGAACAAAGGGCAGGAGCAAATTGCAAGTAGTGTTGTAAAGGTTTTGGGAGAGGGGGGTCAGCATTATCTCTAGGTAGCTCCTATAAAGGCTGTTTTTTAGCATTAGCACCCCAGGCAGAATTATAAGGCTCATAACATCAACATCTATGCAGCTAATTTGATTCAGGGTTTGTTCAGTCTTGGTTACTCTCTTAATTGCTTAGCTTGCAAGGAGGCCCAGAGATCAAAGATTCTTTTGGATCTTGATGTTCAATACCATCAGGCATCTTTTTAACGTTGTTTTCACATAGTCACTTGGAGATAAAGGACCCTGAACACAATGATGTCAATGTTGAAGCTGCCTGGCCTAGAACTGCATTGTGAATGCTAATACAACACATCATCTCAAATGTTGATGACTTAAAGCTATACATTTGTGGCATGAACCCACACGTTGGTCATGAAAAGCATGCATATAGTTTTCATGACTAACATGTCTTAACTGTAATGGCACCATGGTTTATTCCTTACAGAATGACAGCAGGAACTTTATGCTGTTTCAGGGCTCAGGATAGTGCCCTGCATATATGCAATTATCGGAGACACCCAGCAGGGCAACTTATGCCTTGTTTCTGTGCCTCCAAGACACGTCTAGATGGCTGCACTTAGCAACAGGATGATGGGTATCTCCCTGGGAAGGTCAACACACATTGGTCCTTTTCTGAGAGCAGTGGCATTGTGAAAACAATAAAAGCAACACATGCACAATTGTCTTCAAGGACATGTATTGGCTAAATTGCTTTTTATCTGGCACAAGGGCCAGACATCAACGCTTTCTGTTGCAGTGCAGCCAAAGGACAAAAGACATCTGCCATTCAGAAGGCTTGCTTTTTCCAGCATGGGAACTTAAGATCCAGCTCGTAAAGTGAAAACTGTCATGAAAAATTTAATGGGTGAAAACACCCTTAAGAAATAAGAATGAATTTGACATTATTTCAATGCTGTATAGAAAACCTGGGGAGAAGGTTGGGGTTGTAGCCACTTCGATTTCTGAAGCAAACACTAATATTTTTTTCCAATAAACCAAATGGGACCAATTAATTCTCCACTCTGCTTTCTGACAGAAGTTTCTCACCCTGTTCAAGTCAATGCTATTCCCAGGGAGGGCAGAGTATTCTTGACGTTACTTCTGGACAGTTTACAGCATAATCACTTCAGCATAGTCCTTCTGTGTAGCTAGATGTAACTTTTTTGTACATGTGAAAATTATTATTGATTATACTGTAAGCCAATGCCTTCCTTCCTCTTGAACTGTACAGAATTTCTACTAATGGAGAAGGGGGAAAAATAAAACAGAACCAAAGGCTATATACATCTTTGCATTTATTGCCAATGAATGTGCCTTTTCACCTCCCTGGTTTGTGCGATTTCCCTCTCCCCTCCCCAAACTTAAAGAGTTGCTCATTTGAGAGATGCCAAATGGATTATGTCTGTGTGCCTTGGGAAAGTTACTAAAAGGGTCAGATCCAGGCCTCAACACCCCACCCCATCTCTGAATATACTTTGAATTTCTTGAGATTCCTGAGTATACTTTGAAAAGAGGTCTGAAATTCTCTGGAGTCACTTTTACTTAAGATCACCTTCTCCAAACCAGAGATGGCAGCCATAATCTAGTCAATTGGGAGGTCAATTTTTGAGAAAAAGCTTTTCTGGTTTATGAAAAAGAAATTGTAAGGGAAACAAATTGTGGAAATAATCTAAGTGAACATAATAAATTGTAGTACATGGTTATAAATACGGACATATGGCATCCATCAGTTAAAAATGTGGAAATCAGCAATCTGATCAGCATTTGTATCTTGTTTATTCACACAATGATTATGGATGAATCTCATAATATACACCCAGCATGGCTACTTTGCCACATGTACCAATTTAGGATATTTGCATATCCTCTCTTCCTTTTTTTTGATATATACCTGCCAGCAAACTTTCAAGTCCTCTGTTATTTTGGGGGATTAGAGGCACCATAGATCCAGTCCAATAGGCTATGAAAATACTTTTGAGGGGTTCCCCCCCCCCCTCAAAAAAAATCATTTGGAACCAATATAAACTAATTTTCTACAGGAGGCCACAGATTGGTATTTTCAATCCAGATTTATTATAAATATTGTTTGAAAAATTCCATTAAATCTTTAACTCACGAGGGGATACTGCAACCAGGGAAAAGGATCCAGTCACAGTGATAACCTTCCAGAAGATCATGTGGCCTATTCCTGTCTCAAGATTAGACAAGACTCATGCTGTATCTTAGCTGTTTCCTGCCGCCATTTTGCATCTCGGCCAAAGGAGGGTCTGAGCTAGTGTGGCCCAGCTGAAGTCTTGACTGGAGACAGACATCATTCATTCTGGTGCTCAGATGTAATTCCCCCATTCCTCTGCTGGATGGTCCAAGAGCCGGGTTTCAATTTTGGTGATGCCCTCCAGATCCACAAGGGACACCTGAACTTCCTCCCTGTCCTGATGTTTGATGTAGACTGGTGGTGTCGCTGGAGATGACTGCTGCCAACGGGCAGGAGCAGCTGCTCCCCTCTTAGAAGCAGGTGAACGTAATGAAGAAGACTGTGACCCAACGTGCGGGGCCCAGCAAGAGCAGTGCATACGCTTGGCTTGGATGCCACCAAGGCTAAAACAAGGCAGAGTTGCCACAGGAACAAGGACTGAATGCTTCTCATACAATGGTGTAGAGGGGTGCCTCAAAAGAGGCAGGGGGTCAATTACTGGTCACCCAGTTGCTGCAGCAGAGTCCGACGCCGACGTTCCAGCTCCCCTTCGCTCAGCTCCTCGCTCTCTGAGGTGTCCCAACCACTCTGACAGCAGAAAGAAGGCAGGTAAGAACCCCTCATCCAGCCTTCCCTCCAAGCCTTTCTTTTTTTCTATCTTCCTCCATCCTCCATGTCCTAAAGCAGAGATGAGCAATTCCCTTTATATGGCCCCTAGAGCCCCAAGAGAATCGAGACTGCTGAAAACAGAGAGCAGTTCTTGCCATTTTGAGGATGAAATCTCCTAAAACAGACATATCACTATATTTAAAAAAAAAGATTGAAGCCGTATCTCTTCCCCAAATTCCACCCTAAATCGTCCCACCTATTTTTGGTGTTCGATTCCCCACCCAAAAGGGTTAGGACAGGGGTGGGGAACTATGGTCCTTTTATGACGTGTGGACTTCAACTCCCAGAATTCCATGCTGGCTCAGTTCCCCACACCTCTGGGTTAGGAGAAGCAATTCCTGGGCTGGGATTCTGCTCGATCCCCGCCACCCCCACGCCGAAGTCTCACCCGCTCCCTCCGAGTGCCCCGGGGAGGGGAGTGGCCCCTCCCCTCAGGTCGCAGAGGTGCCTTCCCTCGCTCCCACTCTTCCGCCCGGCTTGGCTCCTTGTGCTCAGCTTCGCTTTCAGGGCTGTTCTGTAAAAGAAACGGTTTGCAGGGTGGGAAGGGCCTGGCAGGAGGGGCCTGGCAGGAGGGGCCTGGGTGGCTGGCCCATTTGGTGACACGAGGCTAGCACAACCAAGGAAGGCAAGTGAGCCCCAAAGATTGTAAACCAGCAATGCAGATGTTGAGATAAAACTGCAACTGTTTTATCTCAACGTCTGTGCCACAGTACCAAACTGTGCCAGGTGGGTTTGGTGCTGTCTCAGGAGATGTGTACCTTCAGCCCTAACTGTTCCCTTGAATCCCCAGATAGTTACCTGCTCCTCAGGGGTGAAATTCAGCAGGTTCTGAATTTGGAGAAACGGTAGCAGAAATTTTGAGTAGTTCAGAGAACCGGCAAATACCACCTCTGGCTGGCCCCAGAGTGGGGATGGAATGGAGATTTTGCAATATCCTTCCCCCNGAGGTCACAAAAAGTGATCACAGGACCTTGAAACACAGCAATGGTCATTAATATGATCCAGCTGCCAAGCATCTGAATTTTGATCAGATAGTCACGGGAATGCTGCAAAGGCCATAACTGTGAAAAATCGTCATAAGTCTAAAGTCAAAGGCATTTTTCAGTGCCTTTGTAACTTTGAACAAGCACTAAACAAACTGTTGTAAGTTGAGAATTACTTGGGTAAGTCTAAGTGCTATTGCTATTGTATTGCTATTTGCTGGATTGTGATAATCTGACATTAGGTTTAATTAGGCTTAAACTCCTATCGCTCACCAAGCTCAGAGAACACCAAGGATGCCACAGTTAATCTCATATTTCTTCTTGATACAACTGTATAATTAAGTGGTAGCCGAAGGAACGGATTCGTTCAAGGTGAACCAGATGGCAGAGAAGGGATGAAAAGCTCTGGTTTTTGACATCCGCCACAAAAATGGAGAAATACCCAAATCCAATCCGTTATTGGAGGAGAGAGAAAATTTCTTTCCCTTTTCAATCACCAATTCCCAAGGTTGTCTTGAATGGGAAGGAGAGAAGGAAAGCCATTTTAGCCATGTCTAAATGATTCCCTCTGAGTCAGGGCAGTTCACTCCCGGAAAATTGAGAAATGAATTGTAATCCAAGTACATGTTTTTTGGAGAAAGAGGAGCAGAAACTGGAAAAATGCATGCCCTGGCTGATGACTTAAAGAGTAGTTAAAGTATCCTTAGATCTTCCAGAACATCTGCTGAGTCATCATTTGGCCAAGCCTGTTTTTGAGTCAAAAGAAGCAGAAAAATGTTTCGGAAGGAACCTCTTCAGAACTTTGTCTTTTTCCATAAAAGGACAGACTATGCAAAGTGAGCTCAAAGCAGAAAGTTAGGCATGCTAGATTTTCATTCAAAAGTGGGAAATAGAGTTCTTTAAAGGATTTCCGGTTGTAGCTGATTGGAAAGGCCTTCCTCACTTTGAGATGATAGCCTGGGCTAGTGAACTTGGTTTGCATTTCTACTAAACAGCATGCAATGTCATTTCTATGAACTGCTAGGAAAATCTGATTTTCAGATTTAGCCACATAGTTTAGGAGCTGTCCTTGTGCAAATGGGCCTCTTTCTACTTCAGTGTCTGCTGCAGGAGGGGAGATAATTCTGAGTGACTTTTCAGGTACTTTTCAGATTGTCACAATCCAGCAAATAGCAATAGCAGTAGCACTTACATTTCAGAGTGCTTTATTACCCCCCCAACAATCTGGGTCCGCATTTTACCGACCTCAGAAGGATGGACGGCTGAGTCAACCTTGAACCGGTCAGGGTCGAACTCCAAGCTCAGGGTAGAGTTTACCTGCAATACTGCATTCTAACCACTGTGCCACCAGGGCTCCCATAAGGCTAAATGGGCAGTATTTTTCCAATCTTTATATACTCCTAAATTGTCTTGCATGGATTTATAAAATAGCTTCCCTTCTCTTTCCTGTTGCCTTGCTCTTTCTTTAAAGAATTGTCTAAGAATTTTTGTTCTAATTGTCTCCATAGCAGCAAGAACCATTTGCCTCTAGTTCCCCCTCAATTCATCTACAGGAGTGAGTAAGAAAAAAACAGCTCTCTGGAATCCTGGAGCCTAATTTTGGCTTTGCTGCCTACATGGGGTACCAACAACCAAAGATTTGTACTTGGGCACCAAAGTGAATAAGTAGCCTTGGCAGTTGTTTATCCCCAACTGATGTTTTGCTAACCACCAACTCTTTCTGCTGGAGGAAGGTGGAAGTCCTGCTTTAGACAAAAGGAAAGCACCTCTAAGGGCTAAACATAAAGCAAAATGCTTCATTAGGGGCTAGAAGGGTGTAGCCTTGATGGGTTGTGAAGAGTCTTCCAGGGACACAAATAGTGGCTTTGTCATCTGCCTTCTTCTACCTCATCTGGCAGCAAAATGAACTAATTTCAGAGCATCTGTCAGGGTGCAGCAGGTGCCCAAATGGAAGTCACGCTGACATGAACCTGTAGTTTTATATAAATAAATATATTCTTACATCTAAATACATATACATCAAACAAGATAGTCAGGCAAACAGGAGCATCACGAGGTAAATCACAGAGCACAGAGAAGAAAAAAGGCAGTTGTAGGGGTAGGAAGGAAACACCCCCTCCAACCCACAGCAACCAAACACAGCGCAGATTGCCTCACGCAGGAGCCAGCACTCTCCAATCAATCAACTCTAACTGTATAAGATATCTGGCTGATTGTACAACCCCATTGTTCCAGCTACTAAATTTAAATATCTTAACAGCATCCCTAGCTATCCTTCGTTTGTGGGCTCCCTGGGGATACCCTGCTTCCTTTCTGACAACGTTTTCCTTCCTCCTGTAGATTCTTACATGCCCTGCCTTTCCAACTGGCGAATGCTGCACTCCGGTGGCCCCGACCTTGTTCTTTTTTGCCAAAGAAGCAACTTCCGTTCTTTCAAAGACTTTCAACTGAAGGATCCAAGGGACATTTAAAAAAGTGCCTTCCCGCAACAGTATTATTCTTACTCTTTTATAATTTAAAGATGTATTTTTTTTAATCTGTACATAACGTGTTCCTTCCTACCGGTCCCTCGCTCCTGCAGCCCATCACTAAGTCAACTTGGACAGATGAGACTGTTCTGGCTTTTGAGAAGGGCCTAGGCAGCAGGAGGCCGGCACCCTCCTCTAGCGCCTCAAGCCTCAAGCATCCAAACCAGAATTGCACTTTGACCATTCAACTTGTCTTTAATGGATGGAGACAATAAGCACTATCGTTGCTAGGCCCTGATGTATTGCAGCGGGGGGGGGNCCTTGAATCCCCAGATAGTTACCTGCTCCTCAGGGGTGAAATTCAGCAGGTTCTGAATTTGGAGAAACGGTAGCAGAAATTTTGAGTAGTTCAGAGAACCGGCAAATACCACCTCTGGCTGGCCCCAGAGTGGGGATGGAATGGAGATTTTGCAATATCCTTCCCCCAGGAGTGGGGAGAGAATGGGGATTTTGCAGTATCCCCCCCCTGCCACGCCCACCAAGCCACGTCCACAGAACCAGTAGTAAAAAAAATTGAATTTCACCACTGCTGCCCCTACTCTGTGGGTTGAGACGCGTGGGGAGGGAGCTGCCAGGAGAATGCACCCTTTTTTCCAAGGAGCTTGGCTTTATGTGATTGGTCCTTTTCCATCTGGACCTCTCCCTTTGCCTCCCTTTTGCTGTCACCGCCTACTCACCGACTTATGCCGTTTCTTCTTGCTCTTCTTCTTCTGCCTCTTGGCACGCCTGGGGCTGTGCTCTGCAGGAAGACAGGAAGTTGTGTGCAGACAGGGAGACGGGGTTGTCCCAGCCTTTCCTTGGGATGACCTCAGCCCACTCCCAGCAGTGATTCCATGGCAGCAGGCCAGAATCTCAGAGACATCCTGGGAAGGTGGCCGAATACTGGGGGATGGGGTGATGCAGATGCTACCTATCAATTGATTTTTTTGTGATCAAATGAAGGAAAAACAGTTTGCATGCTGTGGGAGCTTCCTCATTTTTACAGGCTCAAGAACACATTGCTGAAAGTTGTTTTGGTGAAAAGAATTTTAGCCCATCATTTTTTGTGAGTTTTAAAACAGGTTAAAATAGGTACGTGACTCTAGCAGTGTTGCCTGGGATGGGGTGAGGGTGTTGTCAAATTTGGAGAGCCTGATGAAAATAATGTGTTGTGGGCCTCGCTTCCCCTTTTGAACATCATCTTGACGTTGTGCAGATGTCCCAAACGGACAGAGCTTACAGTCTGACACCACAAAGCTTTTGTCATTGGGACAAAAAGAAAAAAAAGAAAAAAAGACAGGAGCCACAGACATCCTAAGCCTGACATACCCCTTCATGTCTTAACTTTCCATAAGTGTAGTGCAAAATGTGAAAACACATCCCCAAAACTTACTCCCTGAACTAGCTCTACATCCACAACATGGTGCTGTGGGGCCCTTTGGAGACTGAAAAATGTATTCAAAAATAGAAAGTGCAACTGCTAGCAACATGTCCTAAACAAGCCGATGCCCATGGATTTGTTTTATAGCATGGGTTTTCCCCCCCAAATACAAAGACTGCTGCTCAGTTTCCCACAAGGACTTCTTTTCTATGGAGCTAGCCAGTTTCTCATCCACTCCAAGCCTTACCTGAGTCAGGGGAAGACGAGGCCCCTGAGCCGGCAGATTCCGAGTGGTTTCGTTTCTTGCGCTTGGCTGCTCGGTGGGGATGATCTGAACCGGACTCTGAGCCCTGCACGAGAAAAAGAAGGACTCACCAGACAGCCACTGCCAGAGGAAGAGTGGACGGAGCCACAGGAAGAAGAAATAAGCCAAAGTGAAGATCAAAGGTATCAAGGAGGAAGAGGCGAAGGAAAAGATCAGGCCAAGCTGCTGCATTTTTGAGTTAGTAAGCAGCACAATCCTACTTCTCAATTTACCATTATCCTGTGCGACGGTGGTCAGCACACAACAGTCATCCCCACACCAGGCAACCTTCTCATTCGAACAGCTTTTCCTAAAGCGAATTTCCTCCAACTCTTGTCAGTCCCCAGTCAAGGTGCCTTAATTCAAAGCTAAACAGGTTCTGATCAAGCTTATCAACCCTTGCCAAATAAGAGATGAGCCTTCCTGAGGCCTAAGGTGGCACCTCTGGCTTCTTGTCCCTTATCCTACTGCATTCCCCCCAACCCCTGACCCGTGAGGTTTTCTGGCACAGAGGGGTCATCTGGTTTAACATCGGTGAACAGACTGGAAGAGAAAGCCTGGGAGGGGTGGGGGGAATAAATGCAGTTTCCAATTGAAGCAGAAATGCCATTCCCAAAACTGAAAAGCTCAAAGTACGAAATGCCCCTTTTTGCACATGAGCATTTTGTTTTGAGCATTTTGGAAGTGCTTCAAGCTCACAAATAGGACTGTGTCTCACTTGGAGCAGAGATACTTTCAAGACGCTCAGAACAGCCTGACTTGCATCTGAGACAAGGTGCTTCAAATTCCAAGCGGATGGGAAAGAAATGTGGACCTGCAGCACTAGAGGAGGAGGATCTGGCCAACTCAGAGCTTCCCAAAGANTTATTGTTCAGGAGCAGTCTTCTGCAATTGCGTGGTTTTCTTAGAACAGGCTTTGAGAGTTTGAAAGCTAGGCCTTGGTGGCCTTGGAAAACCACTGGAACCTTTCTTCCAAAGGGAAAAAAAAATAAGACCAAAGTCTCATGTCTCAACTGCACAAAGGTAACTGTGTTTGATACAGCAGGGAACGGATAGTGGCTAGCCAACCCTTGGGGATCTCAAGAAAAATCCTGGGTAGGTTACAGGCTATCTCAGTTTGTTTGTTTTTTAGAAACTCTCGCTATTTTTTTTCCAAAGAATGAAAATTTGCTTCCTATTTGTATGTGGCATGTTCTGCTCAATTGTTGTTTTTTTATACTTGGTGGACCAAACAAAATGTAGCACTGCCTATTATGCTTATTGAAGCTTTCAGAATAAGTAGAAGTTAAGTTATGCATGGTGGTTATTCTTGATGAATTTGCCCATGTCATTTTAATTCATGAATGAGATGGGGACTGTTTTTTATTCATTGATGAAGGATAAATGACATGATTTCCTATCATCAAATGGGCAGAATTCCCTGAACTACTTTAGAGTAAGCCTTTTCTTAAATGGAATTCCTCATAGTTTCAGGAGATCCTGCACTGAAGAACTTATCTATAAATATTACCTCATGGCTGGATTGATTCAACCTGGTTACTGAAGTAAACAATTTCTGGGTTTTCACAATATGTGGAACCAGAAACTAAGGGATAAGGTTACACAGCTGACTAAACCACAAACAAACCATAATTAACATGAAGGCCAACCAAACTTAGCAATGTATGCAAATATAGCCACTGAATTTTGAACTAAGTTGTTTATGAATATTTTGTGAGCCAAGAGATAAAATTGGTTTCTCTCCCCCTCACCTGCTCCTTGAAGGTTGTCCAGGTTGGAACCATCTCTAACTCAACACGCATTTGCAATAATTGTTGTGCTGATGTTTGAAACTAGGCTTGTTGTTTTCAGCCTGGATGTTTTGAGACAATCCAGTTTTGCTTTAACTTCTCTTAACCTGCCTGATAACTTCTGACCAAAGATTTTGAGGTATTAACAGTTTAGGATAAAGCCACTTGACAATGGTTAGGTTCTTCAACTGTTTTTAATTCAGAGAACCAAATGACTCCTTAAGTGTTTTACAGCACTTTTTGCAGCTAGGAAATTAGTAGGGCTAAAGATGCTTCCTTAGATGAGTCTTCTTCAACTTGGTACCATCCAGACATGTTGGACTACCCTTTTTGATTGCATCAACATGGCTGATTTATTTGGAGACTATAAAGTTGGCAAAGTTGATACAGAGTCTTTAATTCACCGAATAGATCTTTAGATGAAGTTGTCTCCACTCTAGTATTATGAAGCTCTCTCTGCTTCTGAAACCTTAATCT